CCAGACCGTAATTCTTGCGCAATATTACAGGCCGTAATATCTTACGTAAGATTACGTTTATATAATTTGCTGATGTATTAATAACAACTCAAAAAATTTTCTTTTATCTTTAGATGCCGATTTAGAGATAGATGTAGTTGTAGTTGTTACTAAGACTTGTGTTTTATATTAAGTCATTATATTTCATAAACTAGTAAGTGCAGCATCTTTTTTATCACCAGCAGGAAAAGTCATAAGCTTAGAGAATTGTGGCAATTGTAGTCGATTCTTCAAGCATATACCAATATTCATTCAGCTTAGACCAAATAGAATCTGCTATCATATACTGATCTGTCATGTGCAATTCATTATCTAAAAACTTACTAAGATGATGAAGAAGTTCTAAAAAGTTTAAATAGATATCGAAAATAGATGGATATGAGCTAGATAATAGTAATTCCATCGCAACAAGCATAGGTTCTAATATTTCAACCATGTTATCTACAATCTCGCATTCATTGTCATTAAGATAATCAGTCTCTAGCTGTTTTTTATGTGCAGTTACAAGCAAACTCAACTCATTACGCATTACTTTGAACCTGTGAAACATGTTATACGTACTGTTCTAGCATGTGATTATATCAACAATTGGCTTGACATAACTTTTTCAGTTTATTTCACAAAATTAGCGAAATGCATTGCATAAAACAGTTGAGTGCTTAATCTTGTTTACACAATTCCAAACCTTACCGATTACTAACATTTTAAGTTTCATTCCATGGCTTAAGGGCATGTGCTGAATAACGATGGTGGCAAAACTTTTGTAAATCTCATTCTTGCTCGATTATACTTCTACACAACACTATCACTGCGTGACTATCAGTTGTGAGTGCGATTACTTTATCACTAATATTTATAGTATTGCAAAGCTTATAGAGTTTTTCTTTAATTGATATAGCTATATGATTATGTTCAAAATGAATAAGGTCTAGTAATAATCGACGCATTTGCCACTTATTATCAATATAATGAATAGTTACACCTAGGTAGGCTTGATTTGAAACAGATGTCCAAATGTCCGCAGTAAGAGTGACTTTGGTAGTGAGGCTTCTGAGTTCATTAGCAACAAGATGATGCTGAGTTTTAAATTGATACATTATCTCTTTCTTTATATACTGACATGATAGAAGCTTATATCTTAGATCAAATGTGTTTACCATTTGTTGAAACCCAGGATTTTTAATAATCATGAATAGAAGTTGATAGCAAACTACAAGATTCAAAATAGCATCAAAATACTCTTTTTTGCGTCAAGCATCACCTCTACTATAAGGTCTTTGGATTAAGCTATTTCTCTTCAAGGTAAGTTCTATACTATGCTTATTGTTGAGATGGTTACTTAAAACCCCAGTAGTTGTTGTTGGACTAAATTTTTGTTCACACTTTCCACATAACCTTGCAATAATCTTATCATTTTCTATTTGCTCGCTCATAAAATTCTACACTGGTGATATCTTATTCTTAATACGATTTACATTGAAACAATTTGATGAGACTTCTTCCTGTAGTAGCGACATGGTGGTAACTGCATTTTCCTCATTTTCTACACTTTTGGGGGAATCAACTTTCTCCTCTTCAAAAAAGATATCGTCATTAAAGTCAAATTCATCTTTAGAAGTAAAATCAGACATGTTAGAGTTAAATCAAAATATGTTTATTTGTTTTAAGTTTTTTGAATTTTTTTTTTCACTTAACAATTGTATAGTCCTTTTTATAACTTTTAAAAGATTAAGATACTATATTACTATAGAATGATAAAATGTTTAAATTATATGATATTTGTAAGTAACACTTCTGTCTCTGATTAGAAGAAATTTTATCTGTTCACTTTGTTAACCATCATACAATTAATAGATTCACAGACAAATAACTTTAATAAGAGTAATATAATTAATTTATTTTATTAATTATTAATTGTTACATATTGATCATTAAATAGTGGCTAAACTGATTATTAATTTATAAGTAAGGATGTATCAGCTTGACCCAGCTTGCATATTTATGAAAACTGATTGATGAATAGAGCCGAATATGCTGATAACATCTCTAAATTAAATTAATTATTGTTCTATTTAATTAATATACATCAAGCAGATATTTAACTGCTATCTGCATTGTTTATATATATCATGAATATTTTTTTGTTTACTGAAAGCCTCGAGTAAAAATTTCTGTAATTGTAAGCAAAGCACAAAGCAGAAATTAATATATGCTTATTAATTAAATTAATTACCTTATATTGCGTCTAAAACAACTTATTCTAATACTTTTATTGATTATACTAATATCTAATATTCAAATAAAATTTAATTTATTAGACAGGAAACAATTAATAAAGCAGATGCTT